CGACGCTCCACTATAAAACAAATGTTTATATTATTTTATATTAATGATAATGAGTTAATATCAGAAGAGAAATATGATACAAGTTGCAAAAATAATAGGTACAGGTTTAGCTACTACAGGATTAACTGGAGCAGGGATTGGTATTGGAATCGTTTTTGGTGCGTTAATAGTGGGTGTAGCAAGAAATCCTTCATTAAGAGCACAATTATTTTCATATGCTGTATTAGGTTTTGCTCTTGTTGAAGCGATTGGACTGTTTTCATTAATCCATAGGAGGTTTTAGGAGCCTCTAAATGTTAATAAAAGTTTAGAAAAACCTAAGCTAGTCTGTATATATATAATAAACATAATAGATATTCAGGCAAGATTCTCAAATTGCGGGGACACCCTAAAGATTAAGTAACCAACTATAAAAAGATAAATATAGGGCGCAGGTAATGACTAGCGGTATGGTAAAATCACTTAATATATAGGTATAAAAAATGGGTAATCCGCAGCCAAGTATCTAGTCAATTAAATGCTAGGTATGCAGTTCAACGACTAGATGGGAGTCGGCTTTAATAATTAAGGCTTAAGATATAGTCTAACCCGGTTTGTAAGAACTGACCTTATATACTTTTTAATATACCAGGTATAAATTAATACAATTACATAATTTATGGAAAAGATCGCCTAGTATCTAAGTTACAATCTTTCTTTAAAGGGAGCTTGCTCCTGTACCCCATCAGGGTACGCTCAGCTAGGGAGCAAGCTCGGAAGAAAAAACATAGATAGAGAGATCCTTGCTTGGATGGCATTTTTATTATTATATGTTGCTTAATTTCGGGAATGCTTGAGGTTTATTTTTTAACTGTTAAAACTGGGCGGAGGTGAGTAGTGGTACGCTCCGCTAATGTTGAGTGGGCTTTAAATTTGACTGCACGGGGTATTTATTTGCGCAAAAGTGAGGCCGCTACCGTTCAAAATATAGAATCTTCAAGTTTTATTTTAAGTAGGCCATTAATATTTTCTAACCGCAACGTAGTTCAGTCTTGCCGTCGTTTATTTAGTTCTAAACCCCTGGTTTTTTGAAAGTGCTTTAATTAAATATGACAATCCTGTAGACCAACGAGTGCTTCGCACAGATTCGAAAGGATAATGAAGGTAAATCAGGAATATATGCGTGAATTAATAAAATTGACAAGAATATTTATGTAGGTAGTGGTAGTATTCTTTACAAAAGAATTAGTGATTATTACCAACCATGATATTTAAAATCACGTTCTAGCGTTTATATCTTGAGAGCTATTTCAAAATACGGTTTGTTAAATTTTGCTTTAGTAATTTTAGTGTGGGCGAAGCCCACACTAATCTTGATAATTTAATGAAGCGTGTGCTGCGTAAGCGAGGGATACGAAGAATTATTGAAAATAATATCTATTAAACTATCTATGATTTAAGTCAGTTCATGAAAGTAGTTATCATAAAGAAATATTTCTCAAATCAGTTAATATATTTCTCATAGACATCTTCAGTGATGTCTAAACTCTAATTTAAATTTTGACATTTGTTAATAGAGAGTGTAAGTGTAATATTAAAAAAAAACCATAGAGTTATAATATGAGGGTGAGGAGTCCTTCGGAGGGAATCATATATAATCGGGTTTATTTGCATTGACGATGGCATTTTTTAGTATTGTATGTTGCTTAATTTCTCATAATTGTATTGTTACTGAGGTGTTACTTCAAACGAATAAGAGGTGTTAAATTCAAACGAAGAAAGAGCGCATATCTTCATATAATTATAATTTTTCTTGCGGAGCATAAATTCTCATATCTATTAGCATCGTTTATGTAAAACATAACCAAACAAACCGCCAACATTGTTTAGCTCTAAAAGTGGTATAGAAAAGAACTCGTAATAAGAGTTCTTACGGTATTGTGTCGCAACCTGAAGGTACTGATGTCTCTCTTTCATCTATTTGTATATTAGGCCTTTAACTTATGAGAATCCTTAGTAATCTCGTTAACTTCTTTGTCCATATACCAACGGGAAAGTAGGAGTCTGCTGTTGAATTAATATGTAAATGTAAAATTTTTTATTGGTAGTGGGGTGCTTCGCAGCTTCGCTGCTTCGCTGAGGGGTACCTTTATATCTTAGATTAAGTTATTACTTCCTTATCTCAGGCGATATTGCTCGTGTTAGTGTGTATATCGTTAAAGCTCTTTCTAAATAGGGGGTGCGTAGCGGCGGGGGGGGGGGGGGGGGGGGGTCGCGTGCTCTCCAAAGGAGGGGGTTAATTTTTTCTGTGTTATACTCGAATATACAACTTCAGATAATCTTATAAAATGTGAAGAATAGTGAATTGATTTACTAAACCCATAATATACCCAGTTAAAGTTAGCAGGGTACTCTAGTGGTTATGAGCCTAGACCAGAAAGTATAGAAAACCGTGTACATTTATTTAGGTAGAACTACAGTGAAGTAGTTAATAATTTTATTAATGAGTCTCGTAAGGGAGTTAACAAGAGTTTTTATGGTAAAAACACAATAAGGAATCTCTAGCTTTTCTTAGAACAGTTGCGTTTAAAAGAACAAAACTACCTAAGCCAGGTATTGAAGTATATATCACTGATCTTGAGACTAACTCAATACTTCTTATGAATCAATTCGTAAGGCAGCAAGTGCTATTAACTCAGACATAAAATCACTATCTCGTAGGTATCTCTACTATAAAAGGTATTAACGCGCCGTATAGAGATAGATGTACTATAGTATTAAAAATACATTAGTTTCATATTAAAATATACTGAAATTAATAGGATGAAAACTTTTATTTTTATGCCTACTTGTTTATATTTGCTTATCTGGTGTTATATTATAAACTCTAGCCCTAGGGCCCAAAGGGCCCGTCGGGTCAGACCCCTTAGGCGGGGCTAGGTTAAAAAAAAAAATAAAACTGCTTTTTTTCAAAACAAAAACTAGCCCGCGGGGCGCGTAGCACCCAAGGGGGTCTGAGCCGCAGGGTGGGTAATGTTATATAATTAAGCAACGGAGTCGGGGAATTGTTATACGTTGTGTACGTGTCCAGGCAAAGCACCGGTTTTTACTCTTTAGTCTTTTACTGCTTCGCAGCCAGTTCGCTCGCTAGCGAACGAAGGGCTAAAAAAGGACACGGACACTGATAAATAAATATAGAGATTAACTAATGAATACCGTCCCGCAGCTCCTATCCTTATCCTCCGGATAAGGATACACAAAAATATAATAAAAAAGGATAATATGTGTAATGTTTCCTTAGATATACTTTTTGGTAATTATTTCCTAGCTTGCGCAGCAAATAGTTGTTGCATGCTTAAATGCGTGGAGCTATATATGATAATTCAATTAGTGAATTATTCAATGTTCTTATTAGAGTATAGGTGACACTTTAGAGTTTACAATTTAAAAATGCGTGTTAGGGATAGTCTAATATTAGCTGAAGTGTATAAACATGAATTAATTCAGGCATTTAGTGCTCCGCAGCTCCGCATAAAAATCTTCTGAAAGTAACACGTCGTTATCCTTTAGCTTATTATACTAATTTGTTTTAATCTAAAAAAATTATAATAATTTAATATAATCTAAAAATATCTTAAATTTCGTTTATCTTTAACTCTGTATTTTTATTTAAGTGTATTATATTTACGTATTTGTTTAGTCAAGATTATTCTTGGCGGGATATAGAGATTTTTTATAGATTTTTTTTTTATGTTACTATTAAAAATTCTTCTTAATTTAAATTTTGATGTACCAACTCCCTGGGGTATATATTTTCAAGATAGTGCTACCCCCCAGTGTGAGGGGCTGATCGAATTGCATGACCACATCATTATCGTGCAAAAAAAAAGAGCCAAATTCCGGGGACCTCTTAAAGCTCTAGTAACCAAGGAGATTTGGTAAACTTATCTCTGGCTTAGCTAATCACTATAGATATGGTAATATCACTAGAGATAGAAAAATAATATTTCATTTCGAAAATGGACTATCGCGGATCTAAATCAGATAATGTTTTATATGTAAAAGAGCAACGAGTAGATGGTTTTTCGGTTTGTCTTCAATGCTGTAAGGTGTACTCTAGTCGCTGAGAAATCAGTTTTTTTAAGTGAAATATTATATAAAACTCTGAATGTAAAAGGTTTACTATATGGGGAGTAAAACGTCTACTATTTACCCTAAAAATCAATGTTATAATAAACTGGGTGGGAAAAAGAATTCAAAAGATGTTTACTAAATATAGTTTTATATAAACCTACGTATTTTTTGAATTTATACCATAAAAACGCGAAGTATACAATAAGAGTTTATTATTTATTGATCTTGATTTAATATTATTAATTACTATTATCTTTTTATAATAAGGATAATGGTGATGATGAAAGTTTAGTTTGTGTGCGCAACTACCCTTTATAGTATTAAATAAATATATGGATAATGTTGAAAAATCTAATTTGGAGTTACATCCATTATATGTAACTGGTTTTTCGGACGGTGAAGCTTGTTTTCATCTTGCTATAGGTAAAAACAGTAAATATAAAATAGGCTACTATGTGAACCCAGGATTTTCTATAATTTTACATAAGAAAGATGAAGAATTATTAAGAAAAATTCAAGCATTTTAGGGGTTTTAAAAGTGAAAAAGGATATTGTACGATTTAGAGTTTTGTCAATTAAAGATTTAGATATTATTATAAAGCATTTTGATTTATACCCCTTAATTACAAAAAAATTAGCTGATTATTTACTTTTCAAAGAAGCGGTCGAGTTAATTAAAAACAAAGAACATTTAAGCCTTGAGGGGTTTATTAAGATTATTTCTATTAGAGCTTCTATGAATAAAGGTTTACCTGAAATATTAAAAACAGATTTTTTCTAATATTATGGGTAGAAATATTTCTATAGTAACATTACCAGATAAATTGGATCCAAATTGAATAGTGGGGTTTACGGAAGGTAAGGGTTTTTTTTTTTTGTAAAACTTGTTAAAAATAATACTAAAAAAAAATATCAAGTAATCATAGGTTGCCAAGTCACTCAGCATAGTAGAGATACTTATAAAAAAATTTTCTACTTTCTTTAATTGTGGAAGACTTGAGTTAACAAGGGGATCTTATGTAAATTTTATTGTTAATAAGTTTTCTGATATAACTGAGGTTATAATTCCTTTTTTGAAAAGTATCCTCTTTTGGGATCTAAAAGTAAAGATTTTAAGATTGAAAAAGGGTAGCTACGTAAATGAGCTCTAGGGCTCATTTAACTGAAGAAGGATTAGAAGAAATATCAAAAATTCAATCAAGTATCACCGTCTCCAGGGTATTCCCTGGAGACGGTGAGGAAAGTGATTAAATAATAGTTATATTCATAGTATTATTGAATCAAGCTCAGCTAAACCAAACCAGCCAAATATATTAAAGTAACTTAAAATTATAATTCCTATAACAACTTTTAAACTACCCCTTCTTTCTTTTGGATCTTTGAGGGTCCAGGTTTAACTGCTTAATTTGTAACTAAGAGTAAAAAACTAGAAAAGACCGATAGGTAAATAAGTTTAAGAAAAGTTTATAGGTATTCGGATAATTGTTGTGAACAAGAGCCAAATTCCGGGGAAACCCTAAAGCTTTAGTAACCAAATATGTAAGGGAAACTTTATATCCGGCCTGATTAATGACTCAGGGTATGGTAATATCACTAGAGGGTAACTGTAAAGGGTGATCGCGGATCTAAATCAGATAATTTATCTGCAAAAGAGCAACGAGTAGACGGTTCTTCAGAGAAGCTGAACTCTGTATGGTGTACTCTAGTCGCTGAGAAATCAGTTTTTGAGAGAAATTTTAATTAACTGCTTATTAATACAGGGCTATATCCATAGATGAAGTAGTGTAATTTTAAGTCTTTCTATTAGCTTATTAAAAGAAGTAACTCAAAATTAAAGTTACTACATTGATTATAGTTATTTAGAAATCTATAAAAGTTGATATCTAATATTTTATATTACCTAGGTGTGATATAAAACAATCAATGAAGATAAAACGAATAATATTCAGAATAGTACTGTAACTTTACATCCTTATTATGTTACAGGATATATCGACGGCGAGGGTTGTTTTCATTTATCTATAAGAAAAAATTCAGGTTGTAAGACAGGTTATTCAGTTGAACTTAGTTTTTCAATAGGTTTAAGCGTAAAAGATAAAGATCTATTGAAATTAATTAAAGCTTTTTTCGGAGGTATTGGTAGGTTAAGTGTTAGAGACGACATAGTTGTCTGAAGAGTTCGTTCAATTGAAGAGATAAAAGTAATTATTGACCATATTGAGTGCTTTCCCCTTCTAACTAAGAAAAGAATGGATTTTTTTCTTTTTAAAGAAGCTTTTAAAATAATTGATAATAAAGATCATCTTAAAGAGGAGGGGCTAATTAAATTAGTTAGTTTAAAAGCATCAATAAATAAAGGTCTGTCTAAGACTTTAAAAGATGCTTTTTCTGATGTAAGCTTATCGCTTGCTAACTTAGATAAGGATATAAAAAAATTTTTAGATATTGAATTTAAAGATTTTGATCCTAATTGAATAGCAGGATTTTCGGAGGCTGAGGGCTGTTTTTTTTTAATTGTACAAGAGAATACAGCTAAAGGGTTACATCAAATAAGATTAGGATTTCAAGTCACTCAACATGTAAGAGATACTTTACTTATAAAAAGGTTTATAAATTATTTTGAATGTGGGAGAACTGAACCTTCAGGTAAATCGGGTATTAGTTTTCGTGTTTCTAAATTAAAAAATATTCTAGAAGTTATAATCCCTTTTTTTGATAAATACCCTCTGTTAGGTAATAAAGCTAAGGACTTGAGAGATTGAAGAGAGATAGCTGAATTGATGAAAAGTAAAGCTCATTTAACTAAAGAGGGGTTGAATAAAATAAAAGAGATCAAATCAAGAATGAATTCTTTAAGATATCGCTCCGCTGCTACGCTGCTACGCGCAAAAAAAAATTACAAAAATTTTTTTTGTAATTAAGGCAGTAGCTGGGTTTATACCTTTCCAATGCCGTTTCCTTATTTAGATAATTGAAAACGTAAGAAAAAAATATACGTACTGCTATAGATTTACATTTAGTTACAATTTAAATTGTCTAATCCTAAGTAATAAGGAGCCGCTGAATTTACTTTATGTTAGTAATTTAAGGTTAATTTAATATGTTTCGATAGTTTGCTCCTACAAAGTAAGAATGGAGTATTTCATAAGGAAGCGTTGCTTTATTTTTCCTGCTTTGTGTAGCAATAATTAACGAACTATAAAAATAGTAAAAGTATTAATTTTTTTTTCTTATATACACTAATTGTAAACTTTATATTTCTCAGAAAAAAGGTAGTTATATCAATGGAGTTGGACAACATCATGTATTACTTAGTTATGATTTTATTTGCTGTAGCATGAATATTATTATCTATAATTAGAAATTATGTTGCAACTAAATCGGCTATTTCGCATAAATATTTAAATCATGGTAATGATGTGCCTTTTCAAAAGTGTTTTAAGCTTAATATTTTAAATGAGCTACATTATATACGTTTTTACAGTACAACACATTCTTCACATGTTAATAGCATAAAGTTTTACGAAGATGCTTATTCTATGAAAAAATCAATTATAAAAGATAATAAAAATAAATCTGGTATTTACAAATGGACCAATAAATTAACATCTGATATATATATTGGGCAATCAGCTGATCTCTCAGCAAGATTTAAGAATTATTTTAATTTTAGTTATTTAAAGAATAGAGATACTCTAGTAATAAGTAGAGCTTTAATTAAATACCCCTTTAAGGTTTCCTCTAGAATATATTCGACAAACACCCGTAGTAATTTTATATCTTCAGATATATGTCCAGATTGTTCATTAAACCCTTGATTCTTTACTGGATTTACAGATGGGGAGGGTAGTTTTTCTTTAAATTTCCATGAGAGTTCTCAGACTAACTTAGGTTGAAAAGTTCAAGCGGTTTTTTCAATAGGACTCCATAAAAGAGATGAAGCTCTATTACATCAAATTAAACCATTATTAGGAGCAGGTAAAGTATATTCACATAGTAAAGGTAAAGCTATGCAATTTGTTATAAATTCTATGGAAGGATTAGAAGCAATTACTAATCATTTTGATAAATATCCTTTAATATCTCAAAAACGAGCAGACTATATTTTATTTAAAGAGGGCGTAAAGTTAATTAAAAATAAAGAACATTTAAAAAGAGAAGGATTTCTAAAAATAGTAGCCCTAAGGGCTTCTATGAATAAAGGACTGTCAGATAAACTAAAAACCAAATTCTTAGATATTGTACCAGTTTCTAGACCTTTAATTGAATGTCCTACTGTACCTAATCCCTTTTGATTAGCTGGTTTTACAACAGCGGAGGGTTGCTTTTTAGTAAATATAACTCGTTCATCTGCTTATCGAGCGGGATTTCAAGTAAAATTAGTTTTTACTATTTCTCAACACTTAAGGGATAAACAATTAATAAATTGCATAATTGAATATATGAGTTGTGGAAAGGTTTATGAGAATAGAGAATCAGCTGACTTAATTATTTCTAAATTTAAGGATTTAGAAGATAAAGTTCTTCCCTTTTTTAATAAGTATCTTATCCTCGGAAAAAAATCTTTTGATTACACAGATTTTCTTAAAGTGATAGAAATTATGAAAAATAAAGGTCATCTAACAACAGAAGGTCTAGAGGCAATTAAAACAATTAAAGGAGGAATGAACAAGGGAAGAATATCATGTGAATCAATTTCTGCGACAACTTTTCTCTAACTATGCTAGAATATTTTTCGAATTTTTCATTAGAGATTTTAGAATATTGTGATATAGCTAATCTAACAGAAAGAGAACAATATTATTTTTATAAATTAAATCCTAAGTACAATACTTTAAAAATTGCAGGTAGTTCTTCAGGTCGTAAACATACTGAAGAGACTAAACAAAAAATTAGTAAATCTTTAAAAGGAATTTATGTTAAAGAAAAATCTGCTTGATACGGTCGTACTCATACTGAAGAAACTAAAGCATTGATGGGTTTAAAAAAGGCTAATGAAAATAATCCTTTATATGGTAAAACTCATAGTGAAGAAACTAAAGAGTTAATGAGACAAAAAGCTTTAGGAAGAAAACATTCTGAAGAAACTCTATTAAAGATGAGTGCTAGCAGAGGTTATCTTGTTTACATACATGAAAAATGTGATTCAGAAGGATTTAAATTAATCGGTAGTTTTGTTTCAATAAGAAGAGCTGCGAAATTTTTAGGAATTAGTAGCAATACTGTAAGACTGTACATAAATTCAGGTCAAATATTTAGGGCCCGATATAAATTTACTGGAGGGGCTCCAAAATAAACTTAAAAAAAAACTATGAGAAAAATTCCACTATATGCTGGAAACTCCTAAAGCTTTTAGGTACTATAAAGTTAATAAATATATATTAAATAGTGATAACCCTAAAAGATGTACAATGGATTATCAGCAGGAAACCTTAAAGTATTTAATACCTTAGCGGGATCTTTAGAGACTACACGTGGAACCATATATATAAGTATATATGGTAATATATAGTCCAATTAAGTATGAAAGCACTTAGGTATAGACACTGATAGAATTAATCTGAACTATTACACCTTCTGTAATATTGATATTAATTGCGTTCCCCTCATTCAAACTATTGTACCTTATGGATGAGGTTAACGATTGTTCAATGACTATTTTAGCCGAGGGTCACGGTGGCCCTAAACCGTATATATTAAATAAAATAGTAAATACCCTTGAGGGTCAAAGAAAAAAAAAATAATATATTTATAAATGAGGTTGGCTTAAAGAGAGGTAAAATCCGAATATTCAATACGTAGAGTAAGGGCTCCATCTAGAATTGGTCCGCATAATGAAGATGTTCTCTCAGTATTAGTAGATAAATCAATAGGTGACGCACAAAATTATATAGTGATGGTGTATATCTCACTCGCTAAAATTAATGATAGTTTATTTAATCTTAGTCTTGAGGTTTCCATCTTTTTTTTCATATGCCTTGGTGTACCCGCTCCGGCGACGAAATTAATTTTTACAATAATTTGAATTTTTTATAAATATACAATGAATATTACACTAATACTTTTTTTAATAGGGATCTTAGGATTCGTATTAAATAGAAAAAATATTATATTGAGGCTCATCTCGATAGAGATGATGTTCTTGTCTATAACATTTCTAATATTGGTAGGTTTATTAAGTATTGACGGTATAATTGGCCAAACCTTTGCTATTTACGTTATAGCAGTAGCAGGTGTAGAATCAGCTATAGGATTGGGTATTCTGGTCGCTTTTTACTGATTAAGATTATATATAATGTATTTAAGTATAATCATTTTACCTTTATTAGGGTCTATAGTATCTGGCTTTTTTGGTAGAAAAGTTGGGGTTCGCGGTGCACAGTTGATAACATGTTTTAATGTAATAGTAACTACAATATTCGGAGAAATAGCTTTTTTTCGCGAAGCGGTGGGACTTAATAATAGATCAAATTTAGAAGTATTATCTAAGGGAATAATAAATAGAAGAATTTTTTACAGAAATGAACTGTTTAAATTTTATAATTTTGTGTCTAAACGACATATT